GGGGGGTCTGTGGATCGCTTCAATGGACTTAGAATTTTTTTTCACCAGTAGCAGAAAAATGTTTAGAAACCTACTTTAAGTACCCGATAGAAGAGACGTATATTTAGAAGCCTGCTTTAAGGACTCAATAGAAATGGCTGGCTGTAGACCGATGGCTTGCCAAAAGGATCGAATACGTCCAGGCAAGCTGTCATTTAACTATGAAATCGGACGTAACCTATTGACTGATCCTCAGTAGCAAAATTAAAAGATAATGATTGGCTTTTTAGAGTTCTCAGCAGAGGAAGTTTATTTATCCTGTACAGGACACTTGGATCAGCAATGCACTTTTGCAGGGCGCTGAGGAGAATCGCCTAAAAGAGCGTTACAGTGCTCGATGTACTTCCTAACTCATATTCTCATGTTGACCCTGGCGATGGCGTTACACGTTAAAACCAAGCGCGCCTAACGAGGCTGTATCTTTGGCCATTGTGCCGCTAATGCTGGCTCTGGGAAAATCTTTATAGACAAAATGAGCATATTTCTTCCCCCTGTCTTTCCTTTTCTAAACTGAGGTCTCTCTCCCTCCCCTCTCCCCGACATTTTTTGCAGGCATTTCCTAAAGTTTAGAGTGTTTGAAAGGGTGTTCCCCAGCCTACCATTGGTCCCCAAAATGCACTGTAGCGGCCCGATTGGCTCAAAAAAAATTCAGCTGCATTTTAAGCTCTCTCAAATAATTTTTGTTCGTCAGCTCAGCTTACAAGCTGCGATCTATCCCTGAGTGCCAAGCGGACTTCTTAAAGATAGCGTTTACTCTTAGAATCTTTACGTCAGCAAAGGAAGAAATGTTTTACCATGAGTGCGGCGAGACATTGGAACAGGTTGCTGGAGAAGCTGTGGATGCCCCGTTGTTGGAAGTGATCAAACTCAGGCTGGACAGGGCTTTGAGCGACCCGATCTACTGAAAGATTCACAGGTTGGTGGGGTTGGAAGGGACCTCTAGAGAGCATCTAGTCCAGCCCCCCTGCCAGAGCAGGATCACCCAGAGCAGGTTGCACAGGATGGTGTCCAGGGGGGTCTTGAATCTCTCCAGAGAAGGAGACTCCACAACCTCTCTGGGCAGCCTGTCCCAGGGCTCGGCCACCCTCAGACCGCAGTTTTTCCTCATGTTCAGATGGAACTTCCTGTGTTCTGGTTTGTGCCCGTTGCCCCTTGTCCTGTCACTGAGCACCACTGAGAAGAATCTGGCCTCTTCCTCTAGACATCTGCCCTTTAGATATTTCTAAGCATTGATCAGATCCCCTCTCAGTCTTCTCTTCTCCAGGCTAACCAGCCCCAGCTCTCTCAGCCATTCCTCATACCAGAGATGCTCCAGTCCCCTCCTCATCTTTGTAGCCCTCCGTTGGAATCTCTCCAGTAGTTCCATGTCGTTCTTGAACTGGGGAGCCCAGAACTGGACACAATATTCCAGATGTGGCCTCAGCAGGGCAGAGTAGAGGGGGAGGAGAACCTCCCTCAACCTGATGGCCACGCTCTTCTTAATGCATCCCAGGACACCACTGGCCTTCTTGGCCACGAGGGCACATTGCTGGTCATGGAGACCTTGTTGTCCACCAGGTCTCCTGGGTCCTTCTCTGTAGTGCTGCTTCCCAGCTGATCAGCCCTGAACCTGTCCTGGTGCCTGGGATGGTTCTTCCCTGGGTGCAGGACCCTACACTTGCCCTTACTGAATTTCATATGGTTCCTCTTTGCCCAGTTCTCTAGTCTGTCAAGATCTCGCTGAACGGCAGCGCAACCTTCCGGTGTGTCGGCTGCTCCTCCCGGCTTAGTATCGTCAGTAAATTTGCTGATCGATGAATATGTTGAATAAGACCGGACCGAGCACTGACCCCTGGAGCACGCCACTAGCTACCGGCCTCCGGCTAGACTCTGCGCCGCTTATTGTGCACCCACTGGAGCCAGTCCTTTACCCGCCTCGCCGTCCGCTCGGTGCCTGCTCTCGGCAGGGGGTTTGGACGAGGCGGTATTTTAAGGTCCTTCTGACCCAAACCGTTCTACGATTCTATGTACCTTTAGCCTGTAGAACTTCCACCACCCTTCCTCCACTTTCTGCTCCTCCACATGAACCTTTTCTTTTTTAAACTCGGTGCAGGGTAGTTTGGGGTAGGGAGTATTCGTTCCATTCCAGTAGCTCCGTCTTTATCCTCCTCTAGGGACACACCGAGAAGGGTAAGTTTGTGGAGCAGGGTGCAACTGTGGGTTCCGTTTCCAGTTCTGCCACATGCTGACACGGGAAGGATGTATAATATCTAATGTATAGCTTTACCGAATCTTTTACCGTAAGCAAGCAGGTTCTTTGGCAGAACAAACCTTTTTATTCAGCCGAGTCCCAGGGCGACTCTGCTGCAGCGATCCATCCGACGCAAAGAAAGGAATAGGAAAGGGAAGAATTTAAAAGGAAAAGTTAACAACAATAGGTTGTAACCCGTGAACAATTTTATCAATTAATATGTGTGGCCCTTGTGTTGCTAAACACCTAGAAAATCCCTATTCTTTGAGACTAGGCGATTCGTGCTCTCCGTTATGCTGGAAAATATTTCAGCCTGTTCTCGGTATCCTTCCCGCTGAGGTAATGCGGAGGGGTTGCCGAAGGCCTGGGATAAAGAGGGGACTCGTGTCACCTGGTCTGTTTTTACAGCCTATACATAAGTATCACTATCAGGAAGAACGACTGACATCTTTAGTATGTCCGACACTTACACTGGAATGACGATGACTTGCTCCTAAAAAGAAATACTGAGTTATATGGACGGGAAAAATGGTGTAAACCAGTTGCCACGTTCAGGGGTGTTTTAAAGAAGTCGGTATGACAAGTAAGATGGCATAAGGAGGATAAACGAGAGGTGCAGAATCATAGAATATAAGGGCCGGTGCTGTCTACGAAGAGGGAGGGAGTTTGGAGGGGCCAAAAGTAGTACCACGGGTTTCTGCTGCAGCAGCGCGGTGCTAAGCCGTTCCAGGAGAACAGACGGTCTGCGCAAATTCACAGCGATAGCATCTGGGAGGATTTACCTTCGTCGCTTTTGCGCAGGCGAGCCGCGTGTTTGCCGCTGCTGAGAGATGTAAACTAAAACTCAGTCCGAAAGTTTTCTTTTATTCTGTTTGTCTGAGGCTGAGAGTGTTCTTAAAACTTGGAAGGTGCTGGAGAGGCGAAAGGGGAGACAATCTGAAGGAAGTTCGAGCTGTGGTTTTTTCATTTCTAGCTTTTTTTTAATGAGGTTCTTTCACCGGTCACAGTTAAATTATGCTTGGAGCGGTAGCGGACTGAACAACAGATTGATTTTCTCCTCCCTCCAGCCCTAGCAAATATAAATTCAGCGTGCAAAGCCTGCGCTCCATCGCTTGCTCCTGTAGTGAAATAAACTGCTTGTAATGTCAGATTTACTCACACAGATGGAAGGTGGCAGGGGTTGTAACTTTTTATCGGACGCCGCAGATCTTCAATTTTACGCATTTTCATAAACAAAGGTATGTTTTATTTTTAATTTGCCATTTATTTTTAATTTGTTTATCTGTAAAAAATGTCCAACTTGCTTATTTGTGTACTGATTTGCAAGAGTACTTTCATGTTTAGGAGGCTGCCTTACATACAGTTTCCTCTATAATCATAGAGGGTATTGCGGCCGTAAGACAGCAACTTCCATTTGATTTCCTAATGCTCCTGGTTTACAGGGTGAAAATGAAGCCTGTTTGAACAGAAAACACTGTGCTAAGCCACTTTTATCCCAAGAAAAAATCAGATTATTCTGGTTTTAGTATAACTGAATTCTATTGAATTGCACTGTGCATACAATGAAGAGGTAAATCTACAGATGTACCGGTTCTCCCCGCACATAAAAAAGAAAAATATTTGTGTTAGTGTATACAGTAACATAAACACTGAAAAGAAATTTAAAATCTTGCCCACAATGGAGTACCCTGTAACAGAGAAAGACACCAACATAAGAAAGAAAGGGGAGATGTGTGATTTCAGGCACATGTTACCGGTTTATCTGGACTCAGCTGATAATCATTTAGGAAAATGCCGGTAGAGACTTTTTGCATAAATCGTTTCTTTTTTCACAGAATCGGGGCCAAAGATAGCAATGCTTGACTCCTAAGCCCTCTATTCTGTATTTCAAATGCAGGTAGCATCGATCAGAGGAAACCGGACCAGTTACGGTGGTTCTATTCATCTGTTTATCGTTGACATCCTCAAACAAAAAGCAATTGTCTGCGCTAAATTATATGCTTAAACATACTTTTTAATTGAACAACGCAATTTTAGCAAGATGTTTTATTTGCTCTTGAGTTCCTCTGTATAACCAAATTTTGCTGCAAAACAGTAATTGGGCATTACCGTAACTTCGGCTGCGACGCTGGGCTCGGGACGTCCGAAAAGGAGGACCGGGAAATACTCCTCTAACCTTCCTAAATGACCCGAGTATAAACGTACCGCTCTCGCTCTGCTGTCGGATGATGGTTCAAGCGGATCGCATAACGCTCTTAAAATCCTGCTACAAGTCAGGCCCCTTAGCTTCCCCCGATTCGGTGCAGACCGAGGGTGCTTAATACCTCATAGCGATGTGCTTATCGGGGTGTCTTTACTGATAAATCAGACACGGGCGAACGATGCACTTCTCCATCTTGTAGATGAGAGAGAATACCACCTAGATTATCAATGAGCGGCGGGTCACGTTGCTGCGGTTACAACGTGAGAAACGACAGGTTTTTCCCAGCGTCATTTTTTCCGTAAGGCGTTACGGAAGGACTGCAGCTTTTACAATGTTTGATGTTTTTTCCTCTCGTACATTTTAGTGTTAAGATGGCAGAATAACCATCACGTTGCTGCGGTTACAACGTGAGAAACGACAGGTTTTTCCCAGCGTCATTTTTTCCGTAACGCGGAAAGGACTGCAGCTTTTACAATGTTTGATGCTTTTTCCTCTCATACATTTTAGTGTTAAGATGGCAGAATAACCATGGGAGACTGGAATTTCCTCGGAGGCATTTTAGAGGAGGTCCACATTCATTCCACTATAATTGGAAAGATTTGGCTAACGATCCTCTTCATATTTCGAATGCTTGTCCTCGGAGTGGCAACCGAGGATGTTTGGAACGACGAACAATCGGAATTTATATGCAATACCGAGCAACCTGGTTGCAGAAACGTCTGTTACGATGAGGCCTTTCCCATCTCTCTCATAAGATACTGGGTCTTGCAAGTTATATTTGTGTCTTCCCCTTCCTTGGTGTATATGGGTCATGCCTTATACAGACTAAGAGCCTTGGAAAAAGAGAGGCAAAAAAAGAAAGCTCAGGTAAGAGTGGAACTCGAAAGCACTGAATTAGAAATGACTGAGGATCGGAAAAGGCTGGAGAGAGAACTCCGGCAATTGGATCAAAGAAAGCTAAACAAAGCGCCCCTGAGAGGCTCTTTGCTCTGCACTTACGTGATACATATTTTCACAAGATCTGCGGTGGAAGTCGGTTTTATGATTGGGCAGTACCTTCTTTATGGCTTTCATCTAGATCCCCTTTATAAATGTCAGAGAGATCCATGTCCAAACACAGTTGACTGCTTTGTATCCAGACCAACGGAAAAGACGGTGTTCATATTATTCATGCAATCGATAGCGACTGTGTCATTGCTTTTAAATATCCTAGAAATTATCCACCTAGGATTCCGAAAAATTAAAATGGGACTCTGCGGGCAGAATAAAAATAAGGATGACCCTGACAATTTCTACATAAACAAACCTAAGAAATACTCTGTGATACCGCACTCTTCTTTGGGAATATCCACCACCCCTCAAAAATCTCTTCCTTCTGCACTGAGCGGTTATACCTTTTTAATGGAAAAGCAAACTGACACCGCCGCCTACCCGGTTCTAAATCCTCCTCCCATGTTTCAGTCTGTGCAAAATAACCGTACCGAAAGCAGCGGCAATTACACCCATCACAATCGGGAAAATAAATCGCCAAAGAAGAGGCCGGCTACAAATGCTTTAGTCAATCAGAGTCAAAACGCTAGCGCAAATAACAAGGAAAGCTTGCTTGGCAAGCTTGGGACTGAAGCGCACGATGCTCAAAAAGAAGCGGAAAAGAAACGTTTCCTTGTTGGTACTCAGAATGCAGATACAGCTTCGAGCACGTGCTTGAGAAGCTTTGCCGAAATGCCACCTCAAGCTTCGCTGCAAGCCGATACGACCTTTCCTATTACCGGTTTCAGAAGACAACACGGAATCGGTTCGTCTTGGAACTGCTCGGCAACGGTCGAGAGTGCAGGGGCTTCAACAAGTTCTCTTCCAAAGAACAGCAACAGAAGACAAAGCAGTTTCAGCGCAAACAAAGTCCAACTTCCTTACGATGCTGACGTGAAAAATTCTAGCCGACCAGACACTCCTGACTCTACAGGGGAGGTGAGCTCAGAATCTAAACGAAGCGGAAACTGCGATAGTCCCAAGCCTTTCTCTCTGTCTAGGCGACTGTCGCTGTCAAGTAATGCCAGCAGCAGGCGTGCCCCCACCGACCTTCAAATATAGCGTGAGTTAACCCGTGAATCGCGCTAGTCAGTGCTGAGATAACTACTGAACGTTGCGACGTAAGCAAGACGTATGTATAAAAGTAGCTAAATCGTTCAGCTTTAGCTGTTTCGCATAGACAGAAAAGTTGCGTAGCCCTTTGAATATTAGCTAGGTAACTTTTAAACAGTCTCCGTACTTCCTTTGGAATGAAAAGGTGGCTTAGACCTCAGCGCATAAACTTCTACGCTATGCTTCCAGCTAAAAAGGACAGCGTACATCGTGTAAGTCCACATATTAGGAAAAGTCAGGCATAAAATCGCAGCTGATACTATTTGAACTGAATAAAAGCAGAAGACAAGATTTACAGTCTAACGATATATTTTACAAAGACTGGTTGATGAAATTAGGCTAATGATGCCACTGGCGCTCTCCAGAGAAATTAATTATCCGTAAGTATGTTTCTGCTTAATCTCTCTGAGACATTTAATAGGTGTCTGAAAGCAGAATGTCAAACATATTCCAGTTTGAACTGTGTTAAATACAGAAAGAATGAAACATTTGATACATGTATCGCTAATTCTTTGACTCCACGGTACACTTTTTTTTCAGTGTATCACTACTGACTTCCTCAGCAGAAAAATCTGGGATAATTTCTTATTGTATACTATTACTGTTGTTAAATGCGCTATGACATTTGTGAAGCATTGTGAATTACAAATGAGTTGTGAGCTTTTATTGTGAGATTTTGCACAACACTAATAAGCTAGTGGTGTATTTTTTTTAAAAATCAGAAAACAAGTTACTGAAATTTATTAATTGGAAATTCTGGATTTCACAAACCAAAGAAGGCTTACCGGGCGGGGAGGGGGTGGGGAGAAGAGAAAAAAATGGTAGTACCCTCCTGTTTTTGGTTACAATGTCGAAAAACATATAAATGGTTTATCAAACTGCAAAACTACTCCTTTTCTGGATGCTGCGGGGTCCGTCTGTCCCCTGAATTCTGACAAACGTTTAAATCAAAGAATGCTTATAATTGTTTAGAAGGAGCATTTCTGTTTATGCCTTTTATGGCAGTAATAAAACAAATAAAGGACATTCATCCAGGTGATGCTCCAGTCCATCCAGTGCAAGGCAAGTTCCGTGAAACATCTTGAAACAATAAAGGAGGGAAAGATGAACAAAATACTACGTTACATTTGTAATTGAGGCTTCTATGAATGAAACACATTTACCTGAGTCGCACAGCACTGACGGGCTGCAAATACTTGGCAAGGTGCTCACGCCTGGGATGCATTAGTGTATGCACGTGTATGTTTTACTAGTGGATTTGACTTATCGTATGTGTACGGGAAAAATAATTTGTGAGGTGTCGCTTCACAATGTTACGGCATCACCAAGCTCTTAATGTGCATTATCACTATGCTTACGAGCCAGCCGGATTTCACGTTGGCTGAAGGCTGTACAATATTAGGAATAAAAAGGAGCTGGAAAACCTAAAAGGCTCTTTTGCTTGCAGCAGCAGCACTAATTTGGCCCCGTCCACATAAGGAATACGCATTAATACTATTAAAACTATACGCTGTAGATTTGTCCCCAGCAGCTATTCTTCTCGCCTCCAGTATCGCTCTACATGTATACATAAACACAGCCCTACGTAATTCTGCTTACACTGTAAAATTTAACATTGTGTAATATACAGGAACATATTTAAATGTATAGCGTGATTTAGCTGAGTTAATACTGCTACTGCGGCTTTAAATCTTGCATTTCTTGGTGCCTAAGTTTCTGTGGGCGGTAATTGTGCTAAGGCATGTTTTGCATTTAATGTCTCTGAAATAAAAAGCCTGGTATTTAATGCGCTCCGCTCTCACTGTCTGAATAATAGAAAAATAGCATTTAGATGTTCACATATGGGATAATGCATTTGCATTTCTGTTGGTCCAGGACGAGATATACAAGAATTTGTTTTCCTGCTGCTGACAGAGAGGTTTTATTAACTTTTTTTTTTTTTTTGCGTGGACACGGGTGATTCTATTTCATCCCAGCGCTTTGCCAACAGCAAAGCGTCACGTAATTCAAGCGAAAAATCAAAGACATCGCAGAAAAGCGCGCAGAGAACGCGTGAAAAAGACCCTAACATCGCGGGTACGAGATTACTCGGTTGGTCCTTTTAAAATTTTTTTTTATAATAAACAGCTTTTATCAGTCAGCACACAGCACGGCGTTTCACAACAATAAACCGGTATAACCGCTTCCGTTTTTTACAGCAGGCCCAGGCCAAGAGGCTTTCTTTGCGATGCGAAGATCTCACGGCGGACCCTCCGGAGCCCCTCGGGCGGGCACCTCTGCGGCGGG